GGTAGAGGATACTGGTAGCTTCAAAATATCAATCTGTTTATGGTTGCAGGCAGCGTCCTCTAGGAAAGCAATGTCACACACACTACTTCCCTTCCACACTTTAAATTTCTCCCCCATAAGAATCACTTTTCCCCCTTGGTATAAAAATAATGTGCCTGTTGTTATTGTGAAGAGTTTTAAGCCTAAAATGAAGGAGGTATAGGTAGCTTCTGTGTTCCCCGGGTTGGATAAAAGGAAATAAATAAAATAATGAGCCAGAACTTACTCCTTCACTCTTCTAGATGTCTTTTTCACAGATTTCTTTTCTGTCTCCTTTACACTTTCTTAAAACTGGAAACAATAGGAACTATGCTCCAGAATTAAAGCGAAAACAAATCCTAAATGTAATCACCATCTTTTAATGACTTGCAAATCATTATGCATAAATACAATAATGCAGACACACATGGAAGTTCCACATAGAGAAGACTCTTTTGCACTTCAAGTGGCATTTTTAGAAGCATTAAAAAAATGTACCAGAGAGAAAAGAATGTTCATATTCTAAAGATAATTTAAATAGTTTTACAGTGGATCAGCATCTCAAATTTTGCACATGGGCTCCAACAAACATTTCAGAGTAAAAAGGAAATCAAGAAAGTTTACATTAGGGACACCTAGGTGGCTCAGTCGGTTAAGCATCTGCCTTCGGCTCAGGTCATGATCTCAGGGTCTTGGGATCAAGTCCCTCATTGGGCTCCTTGCTCAGCTGGGAGCCTGCTTCTCCCTCTGTTTGTGCTCTCTCTCTTTGGCAAATAAATAAATAAAATCTTTTTAAAAAGGTTGCATTATATACACACAGTACACAAACACCCCTCCCCACATGCATGCACACTCAAACATGCCAGTTTATATGATTTATATATTAAATATGTCAAACTCTCCAACTTCTATTTTAATTTACATAAATTTTTGCATTTCTCCTTGACCTTAATAATAGCATAATAATCCATTTATAATATTTTGTATTTTGTATAAATCATATAATTTTATTTTCACATATATTATTCCAATTGAGCCCAGTGGGTAGTCCAGAAGGAAAAAACATAGTATTAAAATTATTTTAGTGATTTGAATTATAGCTGTTTGTTTTCCTATACAGTGGATTCTAGGTTCTTACTGTTTTTTCCTAAACATAGTTATGATTTTTTTAATTATACAAATTTTAAGAATATTGTAATAACAGTTAAAAGTTATTTATGCAATTTAAAATTCAACATAATTAAATTTTCATTTATTAGAAGTGAGGCATCAGCAAAATGAGTGGTATCTAACATTTGGTGACTATGAACTAAAGAAATTGATGAATATGCTTCTCACCCATTCCATGAACTACACGGAAAACATTTGACTTTCTTTTTCTCAATAAGGTATTTTGACATGTTGACATATATTCAAAATTTTCAAATTGTGATATGTAGGTACTTTAACTGTGATTTATAAGTGAAAAATGGCTTTTTCTTTATCCAGTAGAGAATAAACTGCTTTGACAATTAAATAAGGAAATTATACAAACTGCATTTTTAATTAATTTTGCTTTTTGCTTTTGATCATTTAGCTTGAGATACTTTGTGCTTTCTTTAGATGAGTGTAATAGGGCAAAAACATATTACCAAACATATCTGAATACAGAGTATTTTCTTTAATTAAAACATTTGGAAAGTAAGCCTTTAAACTTTGTTATCTGATGAAAATATTTTAAAATATAGTATTTTATTATATTATGAAGTGATGGAGTTCAGGACACACCACTCTAAATTATGACACCTTGACATACTGAATGTCCTAAGCTGAAGGAGTCTGAGAAAACAGCAGCAGTAGGAAGGTCATTCTAACACCCCTTCTCAAAAAGCAGGAGAGAAACCTCCCATGTGGAAGGCTCTCTCCCTGTACCAGAAGGAAGAAAGGCATCCTAAACGCTAAGAATTTAGGGCCAAGAAGGCTGTGTTAAGAAACCTTGTTATTTCTTTACCATTCTTCACAAATGTATTCTTTCTTTAAAAGGTATTAAAAGCTTCCTGGTCTGGTTACTTCTTTGGGTCTTCATTCTCTTGTGGAGGCTTCCAAGTCCATGTAAAAATTCAATACAATTTGCATGCTTTTCTCCTGTTAATCTGTCTGATGTCAGCTTACTTCTGAGGCCCAGCTGGAGACCCAAAGAGGTTGGAGAGGAATGTTTCTAACAGAAGTAATATGCTTGTGAGTTATTTATGGCTTCTTTCTACTGTCTTATCTATGAGCCCAGGTAAGGAATTACTTCTCACAATTTATATTCTTTCATAAGTACAGATCAGTTAACCAAATAGTTTACAATCACCAAGAAATTTAAACCATGAAAAACTTTAAAATTATTACTCTTTTCTTCAGAAACTTCCTTACAGTTAACAAAGATTTGAACATTCCCTGGAACCTTACAGCTATATGAAAGGTCATATTTTATAATAGCTAAGCATTTTTATTTATTTTAAAAACAAACTCTTATACTTTATTATTTCCTGATAATATCTGCAAACATGCTGAATTCTAGAATTTTTTTTTCCAAGCGTATCGTTAATGTTATCCTTATAGCTTTGATTTTTATTGCACTTCATGGATTTTTTCTATGTCTAGGTAATCATATTTTAGAACCACATTCTAAAGCACATACAAAAAAATAAAGCACATATTGGCAAACATAACAATTCTATTACTACAGAAGCACAAAGAGAAGAGTGCAGTCCTGTGCCACGAATGGACTGGATATAGCTATTCCACATCCTCTTCTATGCTTCTTAGGTGGTATTTGGCCTTGCTCTTAGAATTTCCTTTCTGGATTTTGGGTTTTTTAAAAGATTTTATTTTTAAGCACTCACTACCCCCAACACAGAGCTTGAACTTGCAGCCCCAAGATCAAGAGTTACATGCTGTTCTACTGACTAAGCCTGCCAGGCAGCCTTGCTCTTAGAATTTTCTCTATCTCTTTATCTCAACAGATGCTCAAAGAGTTTTTTAAAACCCACCTTTAAAGGTAACCCATGGAATGGGAGAAGATAATCTCCAATGACACTACAGAGAAAGGGCTGATATCCAAGATCTATAAAGAACTCCTCAAACTCAACACACACAAAACAGATAATCATGTCAAAAAATGGGCAGAAGACATGAACAGACACTTCTCCAAAGAAGACATACAAATGGCTAACAGACACATGAAAACATGTTCATCATCATTAGCTATCAGGGAGATTCAAATTAAAACCACACTGAGATACCACCTTACACCAGTTAGAATGGCCAAAATTAACAAGACAGTAAACAACAAGTGTTGGAGAGACTGTGGAGAAAGCAGAACCCTCTTACACTGTTGGTGGGAATGCAAGTTGGTGCAGCCACTTTGGAAAACAGTGTGGAGATTCCTTAAGAAATTAAAAATAGAGCTACCTTATGAGTACCCACTACTGGGTATTTACCCCAAAGATATAGATGTAGTGAAAAAAAAGGCCATCTGAACCTCACGGTTCATAGCAGCAGTAGCTACAGTCACCAAACTGTGGAAAGAACCAAGATGCCCTTCAACGGACGAACAGATAAAGAAGATATGGTCCATATATACAATGGAGTATTTTGCTCCAACAGAAAGGATGAATACCCAACTTTTGTAACAACATGGATGGGACTGGAAGAGATTATGCTGAGTGAAATAAGTCAAGCAGAGAGAGTCAATTATCATATGGTTTCACTTACTTGTGGAGCATAAGGGATAACACGGAGGACATTGGGAGATGGAGAAGAGAAGTGAGATAGGGGAAATTGGAGGGGGAGACAAACCACGAGGTACTGTGGACTCTGAGAAACAAACTGAGGGTTTCGGAGGGGAGGGAGTTGGTGGGTTGAGTGAGGTATTATGGAGGGCATGTATTGCATGGAGCATAGGTGTGGTGCATAAACAATGAATTTTGGAACACTGAAAAGAAATAAAATAAAATAAAATAGAAAAAAAAAGCACCTTTAAGATATGTGCTACCTCACTTTCTTTTGCTGGTTAGAACTGAAGATACAGTGAATGCCAGAGACAGCCTTTTTCCTTTCTGTTTGACTTTCATCAGAGGAGGAAAAGGAAGCACATGAACAGGAGCTGAGGAAGCACACTCGAGAAGTCATTTCTGAATGCAGCTCAAGATCTGCACATACTGAACTAACACTGGTATTCCATGGTCCCCGCCTTCATTCCTCGGGTATTTACTGATGGTTCCCTCCCTGCCCAACTTAAAAATAGACAGGAATGATGTTAATAGCCGAGCGTTATTGAGGATTTACCCTGTGCCAGTCCCTATGCTAAGGGTTTTACCTCCTTCCTGTTTTCTCTCATAATTACCCCATGGAATAGATATATTAGTGTCATTTTAAACATGGAGAAATGAAGGCATAAAGAAATGAAACGGTGGTCTCATCACTAATAATATGCTTTTGAAATCTGTACTCTGCTCCATAAGTGTCATATTAGCTCCTGACACCTCCCAACGCCCCCGTATAGCAGGAGATCCTTGTTATTAATGTTCCCAGCCTCTCTTCCACTTGTCCATAAAGACTCTGGAGGGAAAAGAAAAGTGTGGAGATTTTCTTTCCTAGGTTTTCCCAACTTTTAACCCAGGAATGGAGTCAGACACTGTAAATGCCAGGATTCTAGGCGTCCACAGAAATGCATGCTATACAGATGCAAGAAGCTTGGTTTCTCAGGAAATAAAAATAGCTTCTAATAAAATGTACTGAAAAGTAATTACATAGGGGTAGTAAATATTGGGCCATCTGATAGGAGAAACCTGCTTCTGAAAGAATAGCTTCTCCGTCTCCCTCCCCTTGAAGAGATTTCCGCTGCCTAGAGCTGCCCTGAAGGAAATCCAACACAGAGAAGAAAGGACATTTCTGTTCTACACCCTCCCCATTCTTTTGATGCTCTTCCCAAACCTGCTGCCCTGTGTACCCTCATGGCTGCTTTACTACCAGCTGGTGAAGAGGAAGCTATTCCTAGCGCCACGGATTTAGGAGGCAGTAGCCAGATGAACCCTGGACTGGGCAGTCAGTTTGGTTTGGTAAAAGGAAACAGCTCAAGAGAAACAAAGGAATGGGACACTCAATCGTTCTGCTGAGAAACACTATGCAACAGCTGTGAGATAAATCTTGGAAGACAGAGAAAAAGAGAGAGAGAAAAGAGGCAAGAATGGAAAGAAGGAATGACAGAGAGAGAGAATTGATTTTACTTTGAAAGACCTGCAAATTCTGAAGTTATATAAACTCTACTTGGTTCTGTAATATGAATATCAAAACGCTGCACATAAGCTCCTTAGGCTTATGCTAAAGTGACTGTGTTCTCTTTATTTTCATGGCCACCGAATGTAACAGCTTACACGTTAAGAAGCTATGCTTTTCTGATTATACTGTAACTGGGAATAGGAATGGAAATTATTTTCTCTGGAGTCTGGTCTGAGACAGCATCTTATTCTCAAAGAAATCAGCATATAGTTGAAGCACTGGCATTCAGCCTTGGCCATGATATGCTATAATTCTGTTTATGGCACTGCCTTATCCAACTCTGCACACATTTGGGAGGAGGAATTGGAGAGTAAAAGAAAATAAATGAGGGTTTCTGGGTGTGAAGAAACAAATGTAAAGAGAGGGAAAGGAAATACAGATCCTAAAAGTTAAAGGTTTATAAGCAAGGCATTAACTACCCCGAACAGTAAAGTTCTAAAGAGCCATACTTGCTTCTTAGTCCTATGGCTTTTTCTAGAATGCTTCCAGTGGCGGAGAGTTCAATTTCTCACCAGACAGCTCATTTTGTTTCTGAAGAGTTTGCTAATAGAAGGTTCTTATTTGGATTGATCCAGGTTTGACTCGTCTGGAATCTTAATAAATGCAGACTCTCTTCTACGTTCCAGTTCTTTTAATACGCGAAGACAGCTACCATGTTTCTGAGTCATCTCAGTGATTTCAGCCAGTCCTTGCTCTCTGCACTTGCCAGAGCTCCTTGGCACGAGGTTCAGTTTGTCAGCGTCCCTCTTAAAATCTAGCACTTTAAATTGAACATAATACTCCAGATGCGGTATGAACAGTGAGAAATTCAATGGGATACACGTATTAGGACTCACATGAGCTTATTTGGCAGCTCGCCACAGTGCTGGCACATGGTGAGTATGCAGGCAGCTGAAGCCCAAGATGATTTTTTTTCATGTATACTTTCCTTAAGCCAGGTTTCCTGTGTTTTGTAGAAGAACAGTTTAATTTGTGGGTCTACAGAGAATTTTCCATTTCTGGATACTTTCTCTCATTCTTCCTGCCATTTAGGGACCCAGCGGATACTTGATTTTGTCGTCCAACACTTCAGTTATTCCTCCCAAATTAATTTTGACAACATATGTCTTCATGAGAATCACATGTTAAAGATTTTGAGGGGACAACACTAACTCAGATCAAAGCCTTAGAAAGTGTTACTGGAGACCTGCCCTCAGGTTAACTTTGGTTTTTTATTACTCAATCCACATTGAATGGCTCAAATTTTTACTTGTCAATCTAATTTTTTTTTTAAAGATTTATTTATTTGACAGAGAGAGATCACAAGTAGACAGAGAGGCAGGCAGAGAGAGGGAGGGAAGCAGGCCCCCTGCCAAGCAGAGAGCCCGATGCGGGACTCGATCCCAGGACCCTGAGATCATGACCTGAGCCGAAGGCAGCGGCTTAACCCACTGAGCCACCCAGGCGCCCCGTCAATCTAATTTTTTTTAATTAAAAAGGATCATCTTTTCCATAAGCTTTGTTGAAACTAAAATTTAGTTTCCACTGATACTGACATGCATGCCAAAAGAAAAGTAAATGATATTTTGGGGACATAATTTCTTCCTCAATGAATCTAAAATAGATTCTATTGATCACTGATTCCTTTACTAACTTGCTCAATTACAATCATTTCCTAGTCAAGTAGAATTTTTTTTTATCATGGCACTATAACCAAGTAATCAGTCTTGTTTTTTTTATAATCTAGACTTTTTTTGTCGCTGAGATCCTACACATCTTCAATATTCTGATACCTTCTCTTTTCAGGAGTCTGCTGTGGCTGCTTTTCAATTTTTTCATACATATGTAAATGTTTAAAATATGGAATGTAATTTCATCCACTGTGGATTCTCAAATCAGCTGACTTTTCTTATAGTCTGAACCCAGGTAAACAAGAGTTTCAGGAAGAGGATAAACCACCAAATGAGGTAGTGCTGAAAGCAATCACTAGAGGGCATTAGAGAGCTGAGAAATAGGGATCTGAGTGCGTGACACTTGCTTAAAAGGACCAAGAGACCTACAGGTTGGAGATGGCCCGCCCTCTGTAGGAAAGGTAAATCTTTTAGGCTATCCAAAAATTGCAGTTTAGATATGGTTCACATAAGAACTGGGCTAGAACTGGGACATGACCAGTTGGGAGACACAGCAATGACAACATTTTTGGGAGACACAGCAATGACAACATTTTTAGGAAGTCTGATACCAGTGTCAAAAAATATATTTGACACCAGGAATCTTGGTGCCACAGTTGAAGTCTGTATTGAAAACTAAGATCAAAATAGTACAGATTCAGCAATGATACCTACAATTTATTGACCACTATATCATCTAGCAATAACCAACAACATCTCTCATTCTTGGAACAACCTTTGGAAAGTAACAGCATCCGAGCTTTAGACAAAGGATACCAGGGATTAAGAAACTGAAGTATCAGACATGGGATCTAGAGTGAGGCCTGCTGAGCTCTGAAACTTGTGTTCTCTATGCTGAAAGACTGTACAGTCTCCTGATTAAGGAAATTGGAGCACTACTACCCAAGGGCTGGATGGGCTATCTGAGCGCTGTGCCCAGTACAAGAAGGACGGAGCTGACTTTGCCAAGTGGCGCTGTGTGCTGAAGATTGGGGAACACACCCCCTCAGCCCTTGCCATCATGGAAAATGCCAATGTTCTGACCCGTTATGCCAGCATCTGCCAGCAGAATGGCATCGTGCCCATCGTGGAGCCTGAGATCCTCCTGGATGGGGACCACGACTTGAAATGCTGTCAGTATGTAACCGAGAAGGTGCTGGCTGCCGTGTATAAGGCTCTGAGTGACCACCACATCTACCTGGAAGGCACTCTGCTGAAGCCCAACATGGTAACCCCAGGCCATGCCTGCACCCAGAAATACTCTCATGAGGAGATTGCCATGGCAACCGTCACAGCACTGCGCCGCACAGTGCCCCCTGCTGTCACTGGGATCACCTTCCTGTCTGGAGGCCAGAGTGAGGACGAGGCATCCATCAACCTCAACGCCATCAACAAGTGCCCCCTGCTGAAGCCGTGGGCCCTGACCTTCTCCTATGGCCGAGCGCTTCAGGCTTCTGCCCTGAAGGCCTGGGGTGGGAAGAAGGAGAACCTGAAGGCTGCCCAGGAGGAGTACATCAAGCGAGCCCTGGCCAACAGCCTTGCCTGTCAAGAAAAGTACACCCCATGTGGTCAGGCCGGGGCTGCAGCCAGCGAGTCCCTCTTCATCTCTAGCCATGCCTACTAAGCGGAGGTGTCCTAAGGCTACCCCCTCAACACTCCAGCCCCTGCCCCCTCCACCCTCACTCTTGAAGATGGGGGCCTCAGTGGGGCTCCAGGCTGCTCTTTCCCATCACTTTGCCTCCCACGTGACATTGGTGTGTGGTGTTGTCTGTCTATGCTAACTCCATTGCTCTTTCCAGCCCACTGCCAATAAACAACTATTTAAGGGGGAAAAAAAAATTTTTTTTTTTTTTTGCAGATCAATGCTGTTTATTTTTATATACACATCATACTCCATAAATACTTTATTAACAAAGCTCAGTTTATAGAAATATGTTAAGTGCAACCTTGTGATTATTAACACATGTACAGCTGTACACTGCAAAACAATTTCAAATAAAAAAGAACTACCTATATGCCCCAAATCCCATCCAAACCCTGTCAATGTTTTTATATATTACATAATATTTACAGGAAAGATTCTAATATCACCAAGAGGCTACTTTCTAGATTATTAAATGCTTACAAGTTACTGTAACCAATTAGTTACTGTAACTAATACTCATACAGTATATTGAAATGACAAGTCATACATAAAAGTCACTACCCAGTAATGGTTTCTAATTTTTTAGAATAAATCCCCTAGTTAAGACTGCTTGCAACTACCAGCACAGCTTCAGAAAAATATGACCAAATACTAGATTCTTTGTCTTACCATAAACCTAATAACATTGATATTAATATACTGAATTCTCTTTCCTAATCTATGTAGTAAGGTCCTTGAAAATAGTTTTTTAAATATCATATGAGCATTAGCAATCCTTGTAAACAATTGATTTATACATTTCATAAGACAATGCTACTCTGTACTGGGTGGTCATCAGTAAGAAAACAAAATGGGACCCTTTGAGTCTGGGTGAAATTTTAGAGCCTAATTTTTTTCCAAATAATTCTTACTTGAAACTGGTTTGGTTACAAAGAAGAAAAAAAAATTGTAACTTCTAGCAGTTACTCACTTTGCCTACCTTATTAAGCAAACATTAAAATGAACTGATAGTATAAAAAACAATGAATATTCATGATGCTCTTAAAGTACGTTGTACTTCTTTTTAAAACATTCCACTAATACGGATTTAACTGAATAACAAACTAATAAAACTCCAAATGAGAGAAAAACTGGGTAAGTATAGATTTCCAGGAAGCATTAAAATCCTATAGGAACTTTGCAGCTCAAAGTACTTTATACTTAATCAGGTTATATAATACATTGTCCAAATTATTTTTCTAATTTATCAAAATTATCAGAATTAGTTAGACTTGTTCAATAGCTAATTTAAAGATGCTGCAAGGAAAGTATTTACTTGCTATGAAGGATTAATTTCACCGAAGGTAATTTTAGGATTTCCCCTTTATTGTAAATATCAATAATATAGATATCTTTGGAGATAATCATTTTCCCTCATAATTTTCAGTTGTCAAACTTAAAACTTTTATTTTACCAATGGGAATGAGAAATTTATTTTTTATTTTTTATTTTTATTTTTTTGCCACTAGGAAACAAAGGGTGTTTTATTCCTTTCTGTGGCTGAGAGGGTAAGTCACAACACGGAGAACAGCAGTCCCGGTCACGGTGGCGCCGGTCGGTTAGTTTCCACAAGAACACGATGGATGGGATGGGGTCTGGCCGGACTCTCCGTTCTCTATGACCTTCAACCTCTCGCTGTCGCCTCCGCTGCAGGGCTGTGAGCGCCTGCTCAGTCTGTCTCTAACCTGCAGCTGGCCTGCTGCACCTGCCTCTCTAACCAGGGAAGGCGGGGCAAAGGGTGCGGGAGCCGTCGCTTCCTCCCTGCCAACAGCACGGGGGCAGAGAACCCTGCTCTCCCGGCTGCCCCTCCCCAGAGTGCTGGCCCCAACAGAATGGGTCCCCTTGGCCCTCGCCTCCCGGAGACCTCATTCAGGGACGGAGTCTGAGTCCAGAAGAGCTGGGCTATAGCTGGGAGTCTCAGAAGCAGGGAAGACGGGGGAGAGAAGCAGGTTTCCAGAGTCCATGGGGTTATTGCTGAGAAAATATGCAAGGGGCACATTGCCCAAGGAGTAGAGTAGAAGCTCCGGGTCCGGGATCCCGGGCTGCTCTGCCACGGGGCCAGGCAGAGGAGGATTCCGTGCCGGAAGCCCCAAGAGGAAATGACCACAGTCGGACCACAGCATGGTAGAAGCTGTGACAATCGGCCATCTCTCTTAGAATCTTTGGGGAGCAGACACATCTCATTTGTCTCACGCTACTATTTGCTGGTAATTGTACTTCATCAATCCCTCAGTTTGAAGTTCATTCTGCTTTTTAAAAAGGATGTAAACAAAACACATTCTCTTATTACATTCTATTTTCTTTAAAGTCTTGAGATGAACATAAACTTTCATAAAGACAACATATGGCTCTTTGGTTTAGTACAATGGAGCTAAGACAAATGTAATGCAATGAGAATTCTCAATAATAATTTTAATTTCAAATAGGACCTGCACCTTTTGACCCCAAATACCAGCCCTACATATGTGGTACCAGATCAACCTAATGGAAATGCTAACTCATTAATTAAGGAAGAAAATATTTTAAAGGATAAAAAAAGATTTTCAATTTAGTATCTATAAAAATCAAAAGAAGTGATCACTGGTAGGACAAGAAAAGAATTTTAGAAGTGCTGAATGTTAAATAACTTAGATGGAAGTGAGATAAAGTGCTCTAGGGTAAAAAGGATCAAAAAAGTAGCAGGAGTAATGATAAAGTCATTTATATCAAAGATGCATGACATAAGTTTGAATAAAATTGTTTCAAGAAATGTGAGATTCAAAAGGCAATATTTCTATGTATATTAGAATATATTCTAGAATGAGGTATAGGTCTAAGTAGTGAGTGTGACTCTTTATAGCTTTATTGTTTTGGGTTTCTAATGGTTTTCTCAGACAAGAAGTAATTAAAATAATATATTATCACCAAGATCTATTTTAGGTTTTCTGAAGGGATGGATGTCTACTGGTTTCTTGGAGTCACTGACATCTCATTAGATCTGTGAAAATATCCATTACATATGTGAATGTATAGAAATCTATTAGCCATGGCCCCCCCTCCTGTTTGCCTCCCTCCTTCCTGGTATATGTAAAATATTCTTTGCAATAACACAGAATTTTCACTGAAATTAATAATGTTTCCATAATAGCTTTCTCTGATCTTAAAATATATAATTTGTAAGGAGTGTGAAATAGAACAAAATTTTAGGGTTATGTGCTTGTTTATGTTTTCATTCTTTACGAAAATACAGCTTTTAAATACTTGTAAAAGAAAATAAATGAAATGTTTATTTCAAATTCTGCCTCAGACAAAATACCTAAGAAGCACTGCTTCCAAAAACTAAATATTTTCCCTTATTTCATTTAAAGTTAAACAGAGATTGTACTTTAGAAGTCCACATCTATCTCCTTTAACTCTCACTGCACAAACTGTTCCCAGGACAAAGACTTCCAAAGTCACTGTAGGCATTTTTTGATGTATGGGTATTGCCAATAGGTGGGAATTTATCTCATAGCAGTGAGACAAATGAAGCCAGATCACACTGGGCAGCGATCCACCAAAGGCCCACTTGCTGAAAATAGAGCCATGCCTTTTACATTTGCACTGTTTCCAAAAAGGTCTATGGATCTTCAACCCCCAAGCCCCAGGAGCCAGATATCTGGAACCTCTTAGAAAGGATTTTCAATTTGTTCTAATGCAGTAATGCTTCCCCTTTGCTATTCTGTGCACATTTATCTGTTTTGTGTTATTTTGGTCCCATTCTTTACCCCTACAAACAGAGCTGTGTTCTTTTTTATTCCTCCTCTCAATTTCTTGACTGTTGTCTTTAGCATATGTGAGCACACAGCATCTGCTTCTGAGTCTATGCCATCTGGATGAAATTAATTATTGGAGAAATCTGAGGAAAGGGAGATCAAGGTACTTTTAACACAGGAAGGAGATAATGGAAGGATGGAAGTGAAAACCAGAGACATTCATTGTCAGGAACACACTAAACCACCTCTCAAAGTTTTGGCGGATGTGTGCAGCGACACTGCATACATCTAGCTTGAGCAACTGGCAGATACACTGTATTTCCCTCCCCCTTGCCCAAATTCTCATCAATGTCCATCAAAGTAATAGGCAGACTGGTAATTATTTACACATTAACTCAACCAATTAACCAACTTCTTTTAGGTCCTAAATCTGCATGGACTCATGGTAATCTAAATGATTACATAATTAAACAGAAAACTCAGGAAAAAAAAAATCAACAGAATTACTTGGAAGCCCAGGTTCAGTGCCATCCTTTGGGAGTTGTGTCATAGTTTTTATTATAACAGAGAGTACAAGGATGCAATCTGTTTGGTGTTTTCAAACACCAAATTCATATGGGTACAACTTGATAAATACAAAGAAAATAATAATGACTAACATCTGTATAATGCTTTCTGTTCTGTATGTTGCTTTGCTTATCCTTCATAAGCACTAGAATCCTCATTGATAGATAAGGCAACTAAGGCTTAAGAAGCTAAGATGAGGATCATTATGATCACACAGCAAAAGATAATGTTTTAAGCCATAACTTTTGATTCCAAAAATGAGGGTTGTTTTTTTTTTTAAATTCTAAATCCAGCCTAAATTCTGCTGTGGTGTGCTGCCTGTCTCTAAAACATTTTAACAAATTCTTCATTGTAAGAACAATAATGTTGTGATTAAACTTTTTAATGTTACTTTTGGAAAAAGATGTCTTTTAGTATCTTTTAATGGTAGGGGCTATGGATTAATAAAATTTGTGCAAATATTTCTGAGCCATTTACTATGGAAACAGAATTTTTAAACTAAAAATCGGGAAATACTATTGAAAGTGTTTAAATATTTTAATTTGGATCCACTTGTGACCAAATATATTTTTTTCTATGTATTGAAATTTGCAGTTTGGGTAGACTGCAGCTATAGAGAAGCCCTAGAACCTCAATGAGGGGTCCTCATGGTTACTGACATGTGCTCTACACAAATGGGCCAACAATTAGGAGCAACGTAATACCTCAGAAGAAAGAGCACCGATTTAAAACAAAATGTGCTAAGAACAGAAAGCTTCAAGTCACACTAAATTTGATCACCTTTGATAAAGTTCCTGTCCCTATTATCAGTGTTTCTAGACTAAAGATAAAGGATATACATTTATTCAGAATAG